CGTGTTCACAAAGGCTGGGCTCCCCTCCTGCGCTGCTCACCGCTCTCCCAGGTGAGAGGCTGTGCAGAAAGCACCCACAGCGACTATTAAAGCTTCACCTGAAGCTATGTCGTTTTCCAGCCTGCCACTGGGAGTTTACATCATCCCTCAGCTGCTGTTATGGGATTGTTATACTAACGCCACCCCCGAAAACTGCCCTGACGGAGGGAGCTGGGCTCCCACGCTGAGCCTGCCTGCGCCCAGAGCAGAGCTGACACCCACCTGTGCTCGGCCCTGCCCGAGCCAACAGCAGAGAGTACTCGTCCGCTGGTGTGCCAGCTCGGCCCCGTCAGGAAGGGTTACAGACGCCGCGCTGAGTAAGCTGGGTGCTCTCCTGTGACCGCAGGACAGCTCAAAGGGCCACTGGGTAACACAGAGCACATAAGCCAGCGGCTGGGTCTCCCTCCATCCTCCGAGCCTTCTGGGCTAGGGCCTTGCCCTTTGCCCATCCCGCCTGTGACCGTGCCTTCCCAGGCCCTGACCGCCGTTTGTGACAGAGGGGGGGGCAAATTTCAAGCTCAAGCCTGAACAAAGTAGTAGGGAAGGGAGGGTGGGAATTCATCCTTGGAGACAGCCAGAAGTCAACTGCATGAACCTGAGCAAGTGGCTCCCAGGCAGCCCCACCGCTGGGGGAGGTTGGAGCGGGTGACCTCTGGGAGTCCCTTCCCACCCCTACTGGGCTGTGTCTATGACTGCCCGAGCAGGATCGAGATGTCCTCTCTGTACAGTACCTTGCCCAGCTGCAGGTCAGACAGGGAGCAGGCGTCAATGAAGGCCTGGGCTATCACAGAGAGACAGGCGTCGATGTGGTCTGTCTTGTCAATGTCGAAGACAAACTGGGGGTTCTTCAGGATGTTGACCCAAAACCTCAGAGGTAGGCTGCGAAGGAAACAAGCCAGGAACACGTGCCAGGTGAATTTTTTGTACTCCAGAGAGAGGGGGGAGGAAAAGCAGGAAAAATGACGATAGAAAGTGAATAGTGGAGAGGGAAAAAATGAGGAGTCAGGTTCTGCTATTTAACCACATCCTGGTAGCGTATGGCCCTCTGCCCAGCTAGAGGGGCAGGCACACATCTTCACCCCAAAGAGAGATTTCTTCAGGCTGAAGCACGCAGCACGGACACGAGACTTCAGGTACAGCCCTGTCTAGGCGAGCACATACCCTTGCTCCTTCAGCAGCTCCCGGAGCCAGCGGTGGTCCAGGAGTGACACTGGCAGGTTTGCCTGCATGGGGCCGTTGAACCAGGCTTCCCCACTTGCTGATTTTTGTAGCAATGGTGTCAGCTCCTTTTCCTTCTTCCCCAACAGTAACTGTCATCTGGTTCTGATGGTAAGCCTGGCCTTGTGAAACGCATTTCATGTGTCTTTTTTGCTGCTCTCTCACCCTTTTCTCCTCCACTTCTTTCACTGCTCATCTGGCCACAACACAGTTTCAGTATGTCGATTGCCCTTCCTACCATCCCTCCTCAGCAGCTGAGGAGTGAAAGCCGCTGTAAGTCTTTGCTCTACTGGCAATTAAAGGTAATGAAGGGGATGCAAATCTGGAGCTCAATGGTTGTGTCCACATGCCTGCTATCCCGACCAAATCTGGTTTTAAGTTTCACATGTTGGGCTGGAAACAGTTACTGTCCCTGCAGCCTCAGAAGTACTGAGCCTCTCCTCGATGCTCCCTGCAAGCTCCCTGCCCTCCCCGGTTAAATCTTCTGGTTTCTCCGCCGCTCTATTTCCCCCCCTTCACTTTGACGCCCCCCGCCATTGCTGCTGCTCACCATGTCGCTCAGCACCACTCCCGGCTGGTCCCCAGTGCTGCGGTGCCCACCAGCACGCTACTGTCACGGCACCAGCTCCTGCAGTCCTGTGAATACCCTGCAGTCTCAGCTTGGTTACAGAGCTACGTCGGGAAAGTGCCCCCGAGGGCTGAAAAGCCAGAAAGCAAAGGAAAAGGAGCCAAATATGCTGTTTTTAAAATCTCCATGATGTTTTAAAACCTGACATGATTTTGGACTCTGTCTCAGATCTCCAGTGCTTGGAGCGTACAGCATTGGGGTCTCCCGCCACCCCATCCCTCTTCTGTTTCTCCTTTATTTGTATCAATGTGCTGGTTCGTTCTGCCCTTTATCTGCCTATGCCTCCTCTTCTAGCTTGCTGTTCCCCTGAGCTCTGTGTTTGTTCAAAGCTCTCCAAGCCTGTGTTTGGCCTCATCTTTCGCCGCCCCCTCTGCCACCCCTCCTGTTTTCCAAGTCCCTCTTCTACTTTTAGCAACCTAATGATTAGTCCAGGACACCAAGGCTTTGCAGCTGCTGCTCCTGAGAGATGGAAGGAAAGAAAGAAAAGATTTCTTCTTCCAAACCTGTTGGTCTTCCAGATGTGCATGGTGTCAGGATCTGTGATCCCTCTTTTCTCTGCTTGCTCCTCTAGGAAGTCAAAGAAGTACTTCACGGCCACAGGTGGTTTATCATCTCGGATACTGAGAATGGCTTTGAACAAGTCGTCCAGGAACTTCTGCAGCGTGCCCTGCGGGACAAACGCACGCGATGGAGACTGGGGAAAGCAGCAGCACTGGAGCCCAGGAAAACAGCGTGAGGGGCTGCGACTGCTGTGCACAAGGGGAAATCCTCTGCTGCCAGTTGGATAAATCAGAAGAGAAAGGGGATGCCAAAGCAGGGAGGGAAAGGTTTGTTTGTGCATAGTGATATAATTAGCTTGCATTTGGGTTTAATTTCTTTTGGCATTGAGATTTTTCTTTCTTATTGCTAGGATCTCACATCTGTGATTGTTCTGCACAGTAAATACAAAGAAGACTAGAGACTGCTGGCCATTCTTGTGATCTCTGCTCCAGTGAGGCATCATGCTGGGATTAAAGATGGGCTGGGAGCCCAACTGCTGGAGCTGAGCACTCGCAGAGAGTGGGGAAGTTCAAATCTGAATTAAGATCGCACAGACATTCCCGCTCCTTCCAGAGCTGAGCATCTCCATCTCCTTTCCCAGCAGGATCTCTCACTAGGGAGATGGGTTCAGGTCTAAACTGCGCATCATGAGCCCTGAGGCCGTCAGCATCCCTTTCATGTGCACAGACCCCAGACCAGCCCGGGGAGATCTTGTGGGGCTTCACACAGCAGCACTGCTGCTCCGAGGGCGAGCTGGAAAGCTGGAGGGAACCCCAGGAGCCACTGGTGCCTGGCAGCCTCGCTAAACACGCTCCAGCCGTTCAGGACCCGAGAGTCCCACCGCCTCTCGAGAGCGACCGGCCCTGCCGCGCTCCTTCCCTGGAGCAGGCTTCTCACTACAGACTGCAAACAACAATCCCACCTGCTGCGAACGAGGGCATCCCGTCTCCTACCTTTGTGGAGAGCAGCCTGGTCAGGTAGATCTCTGGTAGAACTTTCTTCCTATGGCTCTGTCTGTGGGACTTCTTATGTTCAACTGATTCATCAGTTGGGAGAACCTGGTCCGATATAAAACACATGTTCAGAGTGCTCCTCTCTAGAAGTGTCACACTGAATTTTCCTTTAAATATAGAATTTCAACTGCATATAAAATTCAATTAAAAAGCAGTTACTGTGTTATAGATTCACCCTTATGTGGCTTTAAAAAAGTGATTCATAATACTCAGTTTTTCTGACATTTGTTTCTCTTGCGCTCTTTATTGCCTCTCTCAAGCTAGACAAAGAAAATGAAACAATCAATCTCACTTCGCGTGTTCGTCTGCTCGCTTTCCTGGTCTCTGTGCAGCACTCCTGTGTGGCTGCAGTTTAGGCTCCCAGAAGCAATGCACAAGGCTTCCAAGGAAACCAGCTTTTCTTAGATTTGGAAACAGTGCAAGAACGATCAGCCATTATTCCTACCCTGGCCTTTTTAAAAACAGAAATAAATGTTCCACTGGTCAGGCCAGTTATTGACTGCCCTGTAATGACCTAGCAAGCCATTTAAGTCCATCTTGGCACTGTTTCACATGTGCACATTCGGTTTCCCATCCCTTCTCCCTCCTTGTGCTGCGTGTACGTGTGTGTGTGCATGCACATGCATGCACGCACTGTGTGTTTGTACTCTGTTTTAGCATGGAAAACTTAACAGAGAAAAAAAAATCAGGCTATAAAATATTGTTGTTGTCCATGACACTTTTTCGTAACAGCTTTTAGCAATGTTTAGCACTTCGTACTTCCAGTGTGGTGCACAGGCAGGAACTAATAAATCTCCCCAGCCCTGGGAAGCAGGCAGCGTGCCAGGAGCTCCCGGTAGGTGACTTGACCAAGGCTGCATGGTGTGCTACCGACGGGGCTGCGCTGCGCTCTGACCGCACTCCTGAGCTCTCTGTGGCTGCTGACAGCTAGATCAGGCACAACAATTACTTTTCCATCCTGGTAATGTTTTACTATGTCCTGCAGTACGAAAGCTTCTCTACAGATAACCTTGCTGCGCCTCTTTGAGCCCCTCTGAAGAAAATTAACAAGCCCTGATCCAGCTTGTTCATCACATCTGATGTTCCAGCCCACAGAGATGAATTAAGTTAATATCAGCACGGCTGAGAAGATTGTCTCCTCTTTCATCACATACACTGAAAAAACAGGACCCACAGACTAAAGTGTAGAAGAGACGAGGGACCTCTGCACGCACACGGTCCAACTGGCCACCTCTTTGCTCCCAGCGCTTTCCAGGTTGTCGCCTTCTGGCGGGATGTCTGCCCGACAGCCAGCCTGGCACCAGAGGACAACCTGGCCCTGCTGCCGGGCTGAGGGCTCACCACAGCCCAGGGCCTGCCCGCCCCAGTGCAGCAGGGACCGGCTGCCGCCGGAGACGAAACGGCCTGTTTGGCACCCGTTTGCAGGGATGAAAGCAACAGATTCCATTGTCTGCTAACGGGCAGCCATCATAAAGGTGAAATATGTCGAAATACGCAGGAGATTAGGTGGGCAGCCCTCCACTGCCGCAAGGAGCCCTTCCTCCAGCACCCCGCCAGCCCCCTTCAGCTGGGCTACGCCCGCACTCCGCCACCATCCTCGCTCTCACAGGACCGGGAGGGTCTGGGGGAGCGGAGCCGCCGCTGTGACCCATCCCCTCGCGTGGCACTGCCGTGCTGCAGAGCGGGCGTCCCGGAGCGATGGCTCTGCTCCCAGCAGCGCTCCCCGGGAGGGCAGGAGAGGAGAGCGGACTCCTGCCATGCACCCACCAGCCTCCGCAGCCAGGACTGGGATACTTACCAAGTGGAAGTACTTCTCGGTGTCCAAATCCTTCACTGTGGAGAAGGAGAGAGAGAGACATAGCGGCTCAGTTGGGGGATCCAAACTAAAACCCGCCTCTGCAGATGCGTTTTGCTTTCCCGAAGAACCCCAACACTGAGCTGGTGTTCCCACCGCAAGTGACCTCAGCATTCTTCTTTGTTTTGGGGTTGTTTATTGCCTTCTGGGACACGTGGCAAGTACCTCAGGAAGTACTTTAAGGAGGACTTGAGGTCTCCCAAGTGGTGTTTTAAGAGGGACCCGAGAGCAGAATCAGCACAGGGTCACTCCTGCGTCGTGGTGCCCTGCACTGCCCCGCTGTGCCCCGCAGCCCTGCGCACCCTGGGCCGTCTCCCAGCCTCATCATCGGGGCAGCTGCAGCCCCGAGAGCTGCTCGCTCAGCGAGCGAAAGGACTCCCGCTGCAGAGACAGGCTCAGTGCAGGTGGCCTGCAGACGGGGTTTGAAACTCCTTGTCCAATGTGAATTTTTGTCTCCCTTGGTCTATTTTGACTCTCTGCACAGCCTGAAACCTAGAAATACGCTGGCAAGAAACTGAACGTGCCTAACTGGGAGGGAAAGGGCTTTTCCAATCAAGTGGGTTTTTCACTTTGTTAGCACAGATTGAATGCAAACCCCTAATAAGGATGTGAGATGAAAGGTGCAAATACCTCTGTCTTAAGGGCTGGGAAAGCACTCAGCACTGCAGCAAGGAGAGAGAGGAGGATACTGGATAACATATTTTAAAGCAAAACCACAAGCATGACACTTGCATCTCCTGCCATGTGTATATCAGAAATGTATACTTCCCAGACCTTCTTAATTTCTCCTACAGAAGGAAAAGCGGGCACAAACCCCCACTTTTGCAAGTGACGTAGATAAGCCTTAAAGTTTGAAGGGGTGTGGAAGCTGCCCACTCTGCCGGGTCAGTCCCAGAGTCTCGGGTATCGGTGACCTCCGCAGCTGGACCTGCCGCCTGTACCCTCGGTCCGACTGGAGCTCCCCTGCTTGCACCTGGTGGGGAGCACTCGCTGCGGAGGGGAAGGGGCAGCGCACAGCCCAGCAGCAGCCGTGCAGGGATGGGCAGTGACGGGCAGGGGGTCCTGACAATGTCTAAACGGGCTGCCGCCTGGCCAGCTCACTCGGCAATGGCGTCCCCTGTCTGCGCCCACTGTCTTCCCTGGCACAAAGGTGGCCCGGCCGATGCCCAGCTCTGCCCCATGCACCATGACAAAAGGGTGCTCTACGAGCGCCAGTAACACCAGAGCCAGCCCTGCACAGGCTAACACCACACCGCAACGTCCAGGCAGGGGGGCTGGCTGCTGGCTCAGCATCCCTGGCCAGAGACACCCCTCTAAAAACACAAGTGTTTCTGCACAGTCACCAGCAACAGGGGAAGAGAAGTGAGACATTACCTCTGCTCAGCGTGCTGTCCTTCTTGTCCGACAAACTCATGGCCAGTGACGCCCCTTCGGGGATCTGCAGAAGGGAAGAGCAGACGTCGGTGATGGGGGGCCTTAATGGTGCTTCCCGTGGAGCTGGGGACAGCCCCGGAGAGATCCTGGGAGCGGGGGGACGCTGGCACAGTCACTGCTCTGCCACAAACGTCCTCGGCACCTGCCCTGCCCATACTCCCCAGCTTGGAAACCGGCAGTAACGGCACTGCCCTGCGTGGAAGGGGTTTTTTAAATGCAAATACAAGATAGTGAGGTTCTCAAATCCGATGGGAATCAGGCAAATACATGTATCCAAGATACATTTCTGGATGTTGACACCAGGTAATTCGAAGAGGAAA